AGGTACATTGTTGTCACTTAGAACTAGCTAACGACATCCCTATGACCTTGTCGGTGGATATCTATTGCTACCCACCCTGCATTCCCCTTGGCTGAAGGGGATCCCCGCAAGCTTAACTTCTGCCACCCTCGAACACCGAGGTGCTCTCATGAAGATGTTGACTGAGCCAATGGTCAACATCCCTGTGAGAATGTTGAAAAACAATAGTCCAGACGGGATCGGGGAGGGTGACCTGCGTCGAGAGTTGTTGGAAGCTCTTCATGGAGTCCATTGCCATATTGGCAAGTGCGTCAGCCGTCTTGTTGAAGGCTCGTAGATGATGCGTCCAGGTGGATACCGTGACTTGCCCTGCTAGTTGTCGGATTTTCCAGAAATACGGACGTAAATGTTTGGCCCGTGGGGTAGTGCGGGAAGTGTGTTGTCGGATGATCAGTTGACTATCACCAATAACGTGTACCGGCGTCCATTTCCGCTTGACGCATTCCCTGAGACCGAGTAGGAGTCCCATGTTTTCAGCAACGTTATTCGTCGTCGTCGAGGCGGCCAGAGAGATACTACTGATCTAGAGAACTGCGTGCCCAACCACTCCATCGCCAATGTGCACCACCATCGCCCCGCTTCCTCCAGGACCTGGGTTCCCACGGGAGCCTCCATCAAAATAGAGGAGGTATTGAGACTTTCCGTGCGGCCTGAAGTTCCGAACGATGTTTGGGGAGGTGGTGGTGAGGTATTTGGAGAAGATCGAAGTCAGCGCGGTGGCGGCGACCGTCCCGAGACCGGCCCCGGACCGATGAACCACAGACCTATATCCCTGCCGAAGCCTTGTCTTGAGTCCTGCTCGACGATACTGGGCTGTGACGTCGTTGTGCGCGTCGAAGTGACTAACTCTCCAACGCCAGACATCGTGAAAATACAAGGCGACCCCTATGCGCCAACAGCTTTCTGCTGCGCGAGTGATCGCTTCTGTTAATCGTGCTCTGATCCCGGTGGAGAGAAACGGATACAGTGAGTTGGCCAGGTTTTCCAAACCTGCAGCTATGTACGGTATGACCAACCCAAAGAAAGCTCGCTCAAGGTCTTCACCGTCGATCTTGTGGAGATGCCAGTCCTCAAGTACCGTCTTTCGTGACAGCTCAGCCGCAGGACATTCCCAAAAGACGTGATAAGCGGTGATATCCTTGAGTCGGTGACAACTGGGGTGTGGACAGCGTACTGTGGCCGAGGTAGGGTCGTACAGTGAAAATGCATGTAGTTTCAGCCGTTGAAGAAGCTGTTCCCCCCAGGGATTCAGTGCTAAGATCCGACGGATATGCGTAAACTCCAGTGACTTGAGGCCTTCAGCCGCTGTAGTGCTGAGTCGTTCCCACTTCCGGTGACGGCGCGCTATACTGGAGGCCCCTTTGGCTGCAGCCGGCCTGAGGAGCTCCTTCCTATAGAAAGACCTGGTCGGCAGAATCCTTCCCTCTCTCTGTCTTAAACTCACTAGTCGGGTGAGCCTAGGGTGTGGATGGATGTGCAGTAGTTACGCATCTGGCGCAATGTGCCGCTTGATAGCTGCTACCAGTTGCCGATGTGAGTTGGCTTGTACCGGGACCGGCATTGAGATCGGGTCAGATGTCAGTAGAGCTGCAGGGTGTCCGGTCTTGTTCATCCGGGCTTGGTAAGGATGGTCCGGCGGTTGAATTACCATTCGGAGAGCGTCATTGTGTTGTCCGACGTGTAGAAGAAGCGGAAAGTTAGTGATCATCAGGATCGCTAGACGCCGAAGTTGCGCTAACACTCCTGATGTACATTCGGATTGTGTCCGTAGCGGCGTGAAAATGAGACGGCCTGCCCCGAGGCGCCTCCAGTGTACAATATCCCGTAGTCTGTACCCGGTTCGAAAAAGACGGGAGAAGTCATGGGCTGTGGAGATCCTCCCTTCTACCCCATCGTAAAGACGGAGGTCAGATGTGACTAAGTAAGGTAGCCACTCGGTGCAGACTGTACCACAAACTCCCTTGTCCGAGGTGAGGAACCTCTGGAATACCGCTCCAAGAAGCTGAGCTCCGTCGACCAAAAGCTGGTGGCCGTCCCAGCTAAACCTGACGCCGTCAAATGCCACTGCGAGTAGTGCCAATGCGGACACCATCGCTTTCCGGCCATCCAATCGTGGCTGCAGACCTATCTTGGTCACTACTTCCCTTCCCGTAGCCCACATCGTAGGTTTCCAAGTGACCCGTCGCTGTGAGGGGGTAAATTCCATCGGGGCCACATAAACCTTCGGTTCCCGACCGGAGATTTCTCCGTGATGTAGGATGTCGCCGACTATGTGGTCCGTTGTCGTTCCGTCCCGAGCCCACGCTGCGACGACCGTGGCCGCTAGCGCCATGAGCTCTGTACGGAGTATGGGAGTACCAAGGCCTCCTGAGGACCTCGACATCGCGGCCAGGTCAGCGTCGATCCAGGCCTTGGTTCCGAGGGCATCTGCAGTGAATACCCCTGACCAGATGAAGTTTTTGATCTTTCGCTCGAGCCGACGAACCGTGCCAGGGGAAGGCCAAGCGTGCTGTCCGACATAAAGAAGCTTGGGTACGATTACTGCAGTGGCAACCTGACTGCGCTGATCGACCGTCAGCAGTTTCCGAGAAGCCAGAGTGACCCTGACTTGGAGTTGCTGTTCCGCTTTCGTCCATGAGACCTCTGAGTCTACCTTGCTCCCCACATAGATCCCCAGATACCTCCCGTGGTCCTGGCGATTGAGATATTGAAGTGGCGCCGGTAAAGGAGAGCAAGAACGGGGCCCCTCGGAGCTCAGTGCGACGACCATGGTTTTGCTCTGATTGAGCTGTAACCCAGACGCTGCACCAAAATTGGAGAGGAGATCCAGCAACTGGGGCATCGATTCGGCAGTTTGGAGAAAAATGGCCGTATCATCCGCGTATCCTGAGACCCGGAGGTCAACTGTCCCAGCATCTGACTGGAGCGTGACACCGCGCAACTCCCCGTGGTTGTCAATGGCTCGGTATAGTGCATCGATTGCCAGAACAAAGAGCATGGGAGCCAATGGACACCCTTGTCTGATGCCGCTCGTGATGGGCACTGCTCTCGATTGATGCCCATTTACCAAAAACTTGGTACTGGTGCCGAGGTGGAGTTCCTTCACTGCTGCTACGAAACGGGGTGGGTATCCATGCCGCCTCAGCGCCCGATGAAGAAAAACTCTGGAGAGGGAGTCGTACGCTTTTTTAAAGTCCAACATGACCGCGATGGAACCCCCGTAGCGCTCATCTGTTGTCGCCGTGCGTTGAGCAGCTTCGTAGCGATGTAAAGCCTCGTGGATGGTCCTGCCTGGTACAAACCCAGCTTGGTGATCGTGAATGCGACCTGGAAGAGTTTTCCTCAATCGATTCGCTAACACTCTCGTAAAAATTTTGTAGTCGGTATTCAGCAATGCTATCGGGCGGTAATTGAGCGGATCACGTAGGTTTCCTCCTTTTTTGAGACAAAATATGTTTGCTTCCAGGAAAGAGGTAGGATATTTGCCATCCTTGTACCAGTGATTGAAAAGAAGAGCGAGAAGGGGGATGAGAGCCGATGCATAAGCCCGATACCAGTCGTTGCTGAGCCCGTCGGGACCTGCAGCTTTCCCCAGTTTGCATGCATGAAGAGCGGTTTCTATCTCGATTGGGCTGATGTCCGCGTCCATGGCCAGTTGGCTGTCTGTCGGTGTATCCGGTTCCTCAATCCAATTCACAACTTCGTCCAGTTTCTCGCGTTTGTGTTGCTGTTGTTGTAGGATGGGCTGCCAAGCTTGGGCAAAAGCTTCCGCCTTCTCGTTTTCAGCCGTAACGCTATATCCCGATCCGAGGTCAATCGCACCTATCGAATTATCAGCATACTTGCATGAGATCCTTTGAAAGAGGGCCTTGGTGGACTTCCCGTCCCAGTAGGCAGCTTCCGTGTAGAGGCGTTGTTGTGAGCTCCGTGATTTTCCCGTTTTGCAGTCTGCGATCGCTCTCCTGACCCGGTCAAGCGCCGAAGCTCCAGCAAAGTCCTTCAATGACAAGGTGGCCATCCCGTCCGTGATAGAGCCGACTGTCGGTGTGACCCTATCTTCTTCCGCCTCCAGTCTCCTCTTCTGTCTGAGGAGACGGCTGAGTTTTTGTTTCCAGGTATTGCGTAGTGTCTTGCGGGAACGCATTACCGCTATCCGTGTTCTGCGTGCGACGGTGTATTTTAGCTCGTCCCACGTTTCCAAACGTAAAGGTTGGCCCTGTGCGGTGACCTGCGCCAGGTATGCCGCCAATAGAGTCTCTGTTTCCTCCGCCACAGCCTTCGATGCATGCTCGGGTACCGGGTAGAGTTTCAAAGACTGCTTGGCCCGGACCGGGTTGCCGGGTGAATACAGTCGTAACTGAACCGCTCTGTGGTCCGCATGAACAGCAGGGTCGAAAACCTCTAGACCGTCCACCCACCCTGTGAGTTCCGGGCATACATACCATCTATCGAGTCTCGAGGAGGCTTTCCTGCCATCCGGTAGCCCGTAGTGATATGTATGTGTCTCGCGATGATGTCTGCTCAATTCTCGGGGTGTCCATCTGTCTGGACGATCGAGTGTAATCGGATCCAGGAGCTTCCAAGTCTCGAGTAGCTCTCGCAGTGCTGGAGAGGTATGCGACGAGCTTGTAGCACCGTAACTGCGATCTGTCATGGCCTCCATAGTACAATTGAAATCTCCTCCGATAATGGCTAAAGCCCCACTGGGTAGGTTGATGTCCCCTAGGGAGCGGAAAAATTGCTCTCTATCCCGAGGCCGGTGTGGGACATATACGTTGATGATTACCAGACACCGTCCGTGGTAGAGCCCTTGAACCGCCATGAAGTGTGGAGACCAGTTAGTGGAAAACAGAGGTGTGACGTCCCGAAGTTGGCCGTAAGGATTGATTAGTACTGCTACTCCTCCTTTTATCCCTTGAGCCGGGCCCCAGTACGAGTGTTCTGTGTCTCCACTCTTCGCCTTGAACCCCCATCCTGCAGCATGTAAAGTTGAGAAAACTCGGCATCTGCGGTCCCCACATGCGTCTCCTGTAGCAGATATATATCTGCAGGCTGGTTCGGTGCTGCCGCCCGAAACGACCGGATCCAGGCGTCCTTGGTGGCCTCTGTGGCTCCAAAACCGTTGACGTTCTGCGTGATGCATCCTAGCGTGGTTAACGTCCCCACGTCCGCATGCGCTGCATGGTTATGAAGCCTTGTATCCGCAATGTGACGCTCTTGTTTAATCTTCCGTTGTCGCTGTCTCTTGATTAGAGCCCTGAAGTTTGCCTGCGTGTTGCGAAAATGGTTGTGATCCAAAACGTGTGAAAAAAATCTCCGAGGGTGCATTGGCTGCGGTGCCTGGGAACCTTCGGACGAGCTGTCCGCGCGTTGACCCCGACCGATCCCGTGCTGTCTCCTTCTGAAGACTTACTCCCGAGTCTTGGGGGGGGTCCCAGCCCCCCCCCCCAAGACTGGGACGA